AGAAATTCAATCGATAAATAGGATAATAGGAAAAATTATGTTGAGTATATGGAGAGAGAAAAAGAGAGAGAAAAGAGAAGGAAAAGTGAAAAGGCAATAGGAGAAGTGGAAGAAACTAAGGGATGGAAGCGAAGGGATGGATTTAAGCCGGGCGTGTACGCACATATGCACGTAGCTACCTATTCTGTTGATTCAGCTTGGCCTCGCAGAGTGCTCGTTCCACGTCGTGGAACAGCGAACACGAAACGACGTCGATATCGATTTTACGACTGACGGATTAGTTCCTCCACTTTTCCTCCCCTCCCCCTTTTTTTCCCTCTTCTTCTTTCTCTCTCTGTCTCTCTTTCTCTTTTTTTTTCGAGAGAGAGACTCTGTCGTTAGCTTGTTCCATTGTGGTCGCGGCTAAAGAGGCAGCGACAAGAAACGTTTCGTTCCCGGAGCGGAGATTAAGGGAGACAGGGAGAGGATGATGACGAGAAGGGAAGGGAAGCTGTTTAAAAAAAAATCGTCGTTGATAAGGAGAAAAGTTATCGATCTACGTGTCCGACCGATATTATTTGTTATATTTTTATTTTTAACCATACAATTATGATACAATTTTATATATATATTTAATATTTAAGAATATTAAATACATATACATTATATTTAATATTTAAGAATATTATATAAGCTAGTTTTTTGCAAAATAGTTCTACTGTTTCACTCGTCTTATATTTGATACAATTATACAATACTGTCATATATCCATATTTAATATTTATATTAAATATTTATATTATTAATATTTATATTAAATATAGATATAATTATTAATATTTAAAAATAGAAGTTAGTTTTTTGCAAAATACTTCTGCTTCACTCGTATTATATTTATATTTAACACAATTATACAACAGTGTTATATATCCACATTTAATATTTAAAAATGGAAGTTAGTTTTTTGCAAAATACTTCTGCTTCACTCATATTATATCTATATTTGATACAATTATAGAACACTGTACAATTTTATTTATTGTATTTTTATTTTAACATATTAAAATTAAGATCGAATTGGATCTTAAGAGGAGAAATATCGATATAAATAATCTCGATAAATTTTTCGATAATACTTTTCAATTTTTGATAAGTTTGACAATGAGGGAAAAAGGAAATAGTGAAAGAAAGAAAGTGGAGAAAAAAATTTGGTATCGGGAAACAAACGAATGAATTAAGTAGTGTTAATAACATTATCAGAGTTACGTACGCGTATGTCATTGCGATTCGTGTACCCGTGGATGTAAAATAAAGCTTGAACAGTCAAAGTCGGGAAGAATGATCGGGCGATAAAACTCGGGCGAACAATCTTATCGCTCGAATTCGTGTGGCTGCGTTTTCGAGAATCGAAGTTATAAAGCGACGAGCAAAGTTTAGGAGAGCGTCGGAGTTAAGTGCATTCCTGGGTATCGCGCTTCCTTGCTGACATCAGATGTAACCGTTGTAAAAGATTTACGAGAAACTTTCAAACGGTGGATCCGATTCTCTCGAAACTCGGCAAACTTGATATGTACGCTTGTACGTTATTATATTATGTATATATGTATACATTTCTTTTTATCTTCTTTCATACTTCTCTACAAACATCATCATTGAGGATCTCAATTCTATTATAGCATCAATAATTATAGAATACTATTTAATATTATATTTAATTAATTTAAGAATAGAAGCAGATTTTCTATTTTTAAAAAAAATGTAGAACTTTTTTATTAGAAGCTAGTCTTTTGCAAGGACAATATTTTCTCAAAAATTTCCTCTATCTAAAAAAAAATATACCTATATTTGATACAAGTATACAATATCCATATTTAATAATGGAAGTTAGTTTTTTGCAAAATATTTCTGCTTCATATTATACTTATATTATACTTATTTGATACAATTATATAAATATGTAATATTTAAGAATGGAAGCTAGTTTTTTGCAAAATACTTCTGCTTCACTTATACTATATCTATATTTGATACAATTATATAACACTGTCCATGTTTAATATTTATATTAATCCATATGTCCATATTTAATATTTATATTAAATATTTATATTATTAATATTATTAATATTTATATTAAATATGGATATATAATTATTAATATTTAAAAATGAAAGTTAATTTTTGCTAAATATTTTTACTTCACTCATATACCTATATTTGATACAATATTTGATACAACACTGTTATATCCATATTTAATATTTATATTAAATATTATTAATATTTATATTAAATATGGATATAATTATTAATATTTATATTAAATATGGATATAA